TGGATTATGTGAACCATTTGTATTTGTAGAAAAAGTTGATGTTGTTGCAAATGGTGAAACAAGCCATGGATCTAATGGTAGTGTTGATGACATAGGTGATGATGATGATGGATTTGTTGTTGATCGAGATGTTGGTGGAAAACTTGACATTGGAAAATCAGGATTTATTTTTAATGTACTTGCTTCAGCTTTTTCTTGTCGACGCCATTTAGCACGACGGTTTTGAAACCTTTAATTTAATTTATTAAGATTATTAAATAGAAAATTATATTCTTATGTAAATATAATCATAAATTCTATTTATCAAAGTCATTTTTTTTCTTTCTCAAATTAAATTAGATATTATCTTGAAAGAAATGTGTTGATTGAAATATCTTACCAAACTTGTACTCGTACTTCTGGTAAACTAATTTTGCCTGCTAATTCTTCTCGATTGTATACATCAGGATAATCTAAAAGAAAAGAAAAAAAAAAAGAAAATTAATTCATATGAAAAATCATCAAAGATATCATACGAGATTTTTCAAAAGCACGTTCTAATTCATGTAATTGAAATGTTGTAAATGTTGTACGATTTCGACGATGTTTCTTTTTTGAATTATGTTGTTGATTTGATAATAAATGATCATTACTATCATTATCATCATCTAAATCTTCAATATCATCTTCTGAATTACCATTACTTTTACTAGTACTTAATGTATCAATTCCATTATTCATATGACGTATAGGTTTACCTATTTTTATTTTTTTTTAATAAACGAAAATATTTCAAATAACGCATATATTTGATTTTTGTTTTTTTTTCTCATTCTATAATCACTTACTATCAAGATAAGATTCATTAGAATTTCGTTTTTTATTTGTAAATTTTTGTTGATTAAATTTTGTTGATGGTATAAGATGTGAAGAAGGAAATAAATGTTGTTGTTGTTGATGATGGTGATGATGATGATGATGACTATCGTAATGTTTAATACCTAGAATAGCTTCTATTGAATGAATTGCTTTTAAATCATCATTTGTTGTTGGAACCATTGAAATAGAATTTGCTGATGATGATAATGATGATGTCTTGTTTGTACTACTTTTCATTCTATCTCTATATTTATATGTTCGTATGATGTGATGGTAACAGTAATAATGATGAGTCTTCTCTTGCCTTTTTTCCTTGCTCTCTTTGCGCTACTCTGTTGTTTTTTTAATTTATTTAATGAATAATCTAATAATGACCGTGATGAATAGAGTAGTAGTGCAACGACAACGACTTCGACGACGACGACGACGACAAAAGAAGAAAAAAAAAAGAACGTAAAATGAGCAGAAAGAGAGGAGAAGCAAAACATTAATCAACAACGTCACCCTTTCTCTATTATTGCTCTTTTTTCTTTCTCGATTTTTTTTCCTATTCGTCAAAAAACTAACGATAGGACGAATGGCAAAAGCGGATGTAATTATAGACTGGCACAACCAATGATCATCGTCATTACTTGAACATTTCTGTCAGCAAATTGAATCGATGTATATTAGAAAATAAATGAAATTTTTCATAGATAGAAGTAATAAAAAAAAAGAAAAATTTCATATTAATGGTAAGTATTTTATTAAAGTCAATAAGAATCAATATTTCTTATTGTTAAATAAACGAAGATACTTATTCAATTAGAAAACAAATAAATAACTTCACAATTCAAGTTCAATTGAAACAAAAATGACATTGATTTTATTGTTCTTTTGAATTTATCAATCAACTTACAAAGTCTTTCACCTATTTGTAATATGTATACTCAAGCCAAAAATAAAAGAAAGAAACAATACATTTGAATATTTCATTGGATATGATTTCTTTTTCCTTTGCTTCATAAACTAGTCCCATGATGGTCACTTAAGTAAAATAGCAAGATAATGCATCATCACGAATTGATTGTCTGTATTTAATGTTGATCAAATTAGTTGACAAAAAAAAAATTCGATTTGTTGAAAAAAAAGAAAAAGAAAAAGACAGACAAGTATCTCTCATTGTTAAACACCGATACATCTGCTGGCATAGATTGAGATTAAGTGGATGACGTCTTTTTTTACTCTCGTCTTTCTTTTTGATGTGATTGAGTCTACTTGATTTTAATTAGTAGTTTCTGTAAGGACAGTTTTATTTTTCAATCCTGCTGTGTGAAAAGTCAATTAGCTTTAATGAATCATAGAAGAAGCAAGCTCATTTCTTTCATCGTCAAATAAAAATGACATGATGATGAAAGTATATATATAGAAAAATAAAAAGAAGAATGTTGTCGTTGACAATTAACATCATCATTACATGTATGTATAAAGCTTTTCTCACCTGATTCTTGTTATCTATAACATGACAAATCGAATAACATGCAATGTACAGTTTTTGTTTCATTGATATTGATCATTTAATGATAATGTTCTACCGGAAATTTGTCTTTTTTTTTTTCTTCATTTCAAGATCAAATTTTCTTTTTCTTTTTTAATCAAATGAAAAAAAGCGTGAAGTCTATTTGCTCGTTCAATGATTAGCTATTTCGTTACTCTACTGTTGTCAACAACAATTTCCTGACATGATGTGTGATTTTATATTTTAGTTAATAATAAAGCGAAGATTAAATTCAGTACTATAATCGAATATACACTTTCACTCGTCTATTGATTTGCTAACAAAATTACAGAGCAAAGCTTTTTATTTTCATTAACGGTGTGACCTCTCCCCTCTCTTTCTCTCGCTCTCATAATATTATTCTCAATCATTATCAAATTGACATGTTGTCTTTTTTTTTTTTGTATAGTTATTTTATTTCAATTATCGTCAAAATGAAAAGATCCTATGATACATAGGATCTCTTTTTTTTTCTTTTATTCTTTAATGAAATTATGATAATGTGAAAATGGTCTTTTTTTTTTAATTTTTTTTAAAGAAAAAAAAATGAAAAAATTGAAGATTTTTATGAAATGTCAAATTATGTAAATTACCGTTTTCTCTCCTATTATTAATAATTAAAAGGCAATGGATGTTTTTGTTAATTAGAACAAAATGAGCAATTAAATTATGATTTTCTTTTTTGATTAATAAATGATGTGTGAAAAAATCAATTCATTTGATAATTAAGTGATAATTAAAATTAATTAGAATTTATATGTACTTTTTTTCCCTTTAATTGAAATAATATTAGGAAAATGTCTATATAAAATTTTGTTTTTTTTTGTAATAAAGGATATAACCTTACAGTCAATCTAATGTAGACATTATCCAGAAAAAAGATCTGTTTCTCAAGAAAGAAAAAAATCACATGTGTATAGAAATGATCTTATATGGTTCAATTATGACATTAAGTATCAGAATCATCAACGAAGATTAAACTGATAACTAATGAAACTATCAGGATTTTAATCGTAATACAACAGTTGATAAAGTATAAACTACTTAACCTTTTGAGTTTTTTTTTCGTGCTATCTGGAATTATGAGATATATCTTTTGTTATTATCAATTTTAAATTGCAAATTATTAAATAATCTTAATATGAAATTAAAGAAAATTGAAAAATATATTAACCTACATATACAAAGTCTTTGTACAACATGTCTAATCAATTTTTGTCTATTTATAAGTTACTGAAGAGATTTAAAAGTAATTATGTATTACAAATTCTATTTTTCTCGTTTAAAATCAATAACAAAATTTAATAGTGGTCAAAACCGACGTCTGTAAAAAAAAACCAACTGATTCAAAGGATATCGGTAAATATGTTTGCTCATTTTTTGGAGATCTTAATGTGGTTGAAGAAGTTCAACAGCAATCAGCTAAAACTAAAATTTGATGGTCTTTTCAAATGAATGTTCAAAATTTTTCACTGACTTACAAATAGTTAGCTATGAGTAAATATTTAAATACATCAACAATGTTGTTACCACTAACCAAAAAAAGACTTTCTTCTATTATTCATAATTTATCTGCATGAGACTTCAGGATAGTTTTAAGGGTTTTCAAAAAAAAAGTCACATCCTTCGAATTTCGGTATTTAGAATATAATAGATTTTGATCATTTGTAGAAATATCTAAAACGAGATACAAATTGAGTGTTTTGTAAAGTAAGTCTTGCTCTACAAGCTAATGTATAAAAATACTTTCTTATAGTTTAGGTTGAGATAGTTTTTATCAAAATACAAAACTGAACTACACAAAAGATTTTGTACGGGTGTCGTTTTTGACCACCGTCAAAGGTCTGTTCTCAATGAATTAACTTTAAGCCAGAAAATCAATTCTTAATATAGAGTTAGAAAGAACATGAAATTCTGATTCTCTTCGGTGACTTATAAATAGATGAAAATTGACTAGACATGTTGTGTAAAGACTTTTTTTATACACAAGCTATAATTTTAAGAAGTTGTATCTGAATAGAATTCTAAGCTGAATTTAAAAAAGAAAAAGGAAAGCTGACTGTCTAAGAATGAAATCAATGTTAATCTTGAAAAAGCAGCTTTTTGATCAAGTACATTCATATGGATAATATTCGTACTTTTTTAAGTATATGTTGCAATCTATCTTTTTATAACGTGTAAATATTAATATGAAGCTTGAAATATAAACAGTAGATCTCTCCGCATAATAGAAGATCACTTTGGAAGAATAATGCACTAGACATAATTCATTCATACACAACAGTTCAATTGAATTGTTATTCTTAGTTGCAATTAGGTTTTTCATGTTCAAGAGAAAAAGTTTGGATGAAATATTATCTTTCGTTAGATAAGTTTTGTTTTGTCGATTTATCTCATTTACTTTATTCTTACGATCACTTTCATAACAATATATAAATATATTTTATTGTTCAAATTTAAAAGAAAAAACAAAAAAAAATTTTTAGTTTTTTTTTCAACATGTTCTTAAATATTTCCTAAACGAAAAAAAAAACAAGAACTATTCAATATTTGATTTCTTCACTCAATAAAAGAAATTTATTGAATAAAAATTTTTTCTTGTAATTTAATCATGAACAGCAATCGTATTTTTTGTATGTAATGTTTGTGATGGACTATTATTTGTTGAACGATCTGAAGTAATTGATTGTCTACGTTGTTTAATAGTTGACGGTAAAACTAAACGATTTTGTCCATCTTGTATTGGTAAAATACCTAATTGACTAGCATTTGAATTACGTTTACGATTACCCATTACCGATGACATACGACGTGATGATGTTATTGACATTTTACGTTGTGCTACTGGTGGTGGTTGACGACTAAGAATTGGAATAATTGGTCGTGGATAATTAGGTATAAATGGTTGACGATATGATGAACATATTTGTGGTTCTAGTAAATTTAATAATTGTGCTGATTGACTAATTGATGATGATGTAGTAATAGGAAAAGATGTCGGAGGAATAGGTGATGTTGTTGTTGTTGTTCTATTAATTTGAAGAGTAGGTATAGCTAAAAAAGAATAGAATATTGATGAGAGAAAGAAAAACAAATCTTCTTAGTAAACTTACGTAATTTATTGATATTTTTTTCATTTAAATTTTTTTGAAATGTTCTTAATGCTGCAACAGTTTTCCAGTCATTTAAATTTTTTGCTTGTTCAATTTTTGATTCGAATAAATTATAAAATTCTGGTGAACTAAATATCAAAGGTGATGATATTAATGATGATAATATTGATAGATTAGTTTTTGTATTTGTTATTCTTGCTGTTGTTGTTTTTGATCTATTTATTGTTGTTGCTGTTGTTACTTTAGATCTATTTATTGTTGTTGCTGCTGTTTTTAATCGAGTTGTTATTGGTCGTTGTTGTAAAAATGAAATTTCTCTTGATATAAATATTGTTAATCGACATGTTTCAGATAAATAATTTGCAAGTTGATTATAACCTAATTTTCTAGCTAATTCTTCAGGTGTATTATTATAATTATCTTTTATATCAAATCTTATATTATATTGAAGAAGATAATTAACAATAGCATGTACAAGTATTTCATTACCATGTTCAATTGCATAATGTAATGAACATGAACCTGAATGATCACGTTGAAGTATATCAATATCACCTGGATATGAACGTAATAAATAAAGACCTTCATGTGTACGATTAAGATTTGTTATCCAATTAAAAAGATTTTTATTATAATAATCAGTTATATGTACATCAAGATTACAATGTGTTATTAAAAATTTAAATATATGTAAACGTTTTTTTTCAAAAGATGGATCTTGATAATTTTGTTGTTTAAGTACATGTATAAGTAAATTTTGTCCAAGATTATTTTTTATATTAACATTATGACCATGTTTAACACATGTTATTATTTTATGTAAATTATATTGTTCAATAGCATCAATAAGAAATCGTTCGCATTTAAATGACATTACTTTTATGAGTAAAGAAAAAATCTAAAAAAGAAATGAATAGTTTATTACAAGTAGAAATAGAAGAATTTCTCCATTTGTTGATTATATAAATAAAGTATAAGAAGCACTAAAACCATGTTAATAAAGAAAAAAACGTCATGCAAGTTAGTTTGACAACATCGTTATGAACATTCTTTTTCTTTTTAAATATGAAAAGGATTAGATTTTATATTAGTTTCTTTTATATATTTCTAACGATGGGAAAATACAGCTCTTATATTCACAATGAAATAATAACAAGGCTTGAAGACTTTATATATTGTGCGAGTGTGTATTGATGTTTTCTTTCTTTCTTGAATGACGAGAAACAAAAAAGAAATCTTGATCGATATGCAGACGACGGATTGAGTGTTGCACACTTACTATTTCATAATAATAATCATCGTTTTCTTCCTCTTTTTTTTTTTAACAAGCATATGCCTGTATCTAAAATTATGCATACAAATTTCAAAAGATATTTTTCTTTTTTTCGTCAAGGTTAAATTGATACAGTAAAGATCAAATCTCTTTGTATATTTAAAAAGTAACTAAGAACAAAAATGACACTGAAGTATGAATAAATATATGTTAATGAAACTATGAGTATCAATTTATAATCTAACGACAAAATATTTGTACTGCTCGACATTATTTGATTATGAAATGCTTTTTTTTCTATTATATACTCGGACGTAAAGACAAGAATGGATTGAACTAAAGCGGCGAGTCTACTAGCAATGATTGATGCGAAATCTTTAATTGTACAGATTACATCTCTGATGTAATTAACTTCATATGATCATTTATCAGTTAAATTATACTCTATACTATTAAGACTAATAGAAGAGTTCTTATCAAGTACATTAGGATTCATGAAAAATTTCTTCTTCTATACTTTCAACATGCGGTATTATACGATTTAAAAATTGATTTGTCATATGATTACAAAACATGACTTCGAGTTCTTTTATGGCTTCTTGTTAGAGATGCATATTCATGCATATATTGACAAAAGCCAGAAACAAAAGCCTTTTTCTTTTTGCTTCATAATAAAAGAAAAAAAAAAAGAAATTTATTGTTTCCTTTCAATAGCGACATCAATTTGAAGTTTAAAACTTAAATATTAATTAAGTACTTTTGGCAAAGTTTAACTTAATCTATTTTACTCACATTTCTATATACGACATTATTTGATACAAAAAAAAATTACAACAAAATTAAAATCTTTTCTTTTCACACTTAAAATTTTTCTGCTTCTCTTTTTTCTCTTTCTTCTCCCATGTAATCATTCATCAACGAAAATAAATAAAAAAAGGAAATTTTTTACAGTATATCGAGAGTTAACAAGAGTCATTGTTTTATGATTTATTTCTTCTGCTTGTCTTGTACACTTGAAGAATGTCTCTTATATCTTAACAAAAGTAAATATTACGGAAAGGTAGATGACAAAAAAAAGAATCAATTTTGATGTTAGATTTAATAATGAGAGTGTAGACATGATAGAAAATGATTATTTGTTTTTTGTAATGGAATTTGTTGTTTGTTGCAAAAGAAAATATCAACGAGGATTTAAAACAAAGAAAAATATTCATCAAGAGAATCGGAAAGAATAGAATTACCAAGAAGTGAAATGATTTGTATGCTTTTTACGAAATTAAATATATGTTATTCTTTTTAACAATTGCACAAAATTTCAAGTATAGCTATTTATTGAGCTCTTGAAATTTGAATATTTAACGATGAAGAAAATAAATTATTTACATTTGAAAATTCTTTTAATCGAATGATAATTATAGAAAATTGAATTCTTGGTATTTAA